GAAGAGAAACTTCTTTACTGATAATGCCGTCAGCAGAAACACAACTCCCAAGGTAGACGAAACTATCTACCTGTTCAAGTTGTGCAACTTCGAAAGTGAGCACGGGAGCAGGTGACAGCCAATCCTTGAGCAGTACTTGACACTTAGACGGGGCGAAGCTCATGCCATACTTAGATGCTTCAACCGCCAAACGATCCAGAATGAGTTGCATACCCTGAGGATTGTAAGCAAGTAAGACGATATCATCAGCATAATCTAAGTCGGTCGCGCGCTCACCCGGTAGAAGCTCTAGGCCAAAATGTTGGAAACCTTACAGAGCATTCGATAGAAGTCTTAGATTGCGAAGTTAAAGAAGAACGGGGACATAGGGTAACTCTGTCGCACACTGCTATTGACAACGAATTGCGAGGAAAGTTTGCCATAGACCCTCACTCTGCCGGATGTATGAAGGTAAAGTGCTCGTAAGATGACGGTATATTTCTCTGGCACCCCGTTCTTTAGTAAGCAACGCCATAAAGCAGGTCGATCAACGGAGTCAAAAGCGACACGTATGTCTAGGAATGCAATGATAGTGGGCCTGTGATAAATGTGGCAATGTTCGAGGAGCTGGCGGAGCGTGAAGATTTGATCCACGCATCCGCGGCCAGGACGGAAACCAACTTGTTCTTCACGGTAGTACGATTCACGTACTGGGGATAGTCTGCGAAGCAGAATGGATGCCAATAGCTTGGAGGCAACCGAAATAAGACTAATCCCGCGATGATTTAAATATGAAGTGGGAGCGTCTTTCTTGAAAATCGGGACAATAACTGATTCGCCCCAAGAAGAAGACACTTTCTCTTCATGCCAGATTTTTGCGAACAGCGCGGTCAGCTGGTTAAAGATCGCAACACCGCCGTATTTGAACAGCTCCGGAGGAAGTCCGTCTGAGCCGGCAGCGTTGAAGTGCTTCAAGCGTCGAATCTCGAGGCAGACTTCCGCTTCGCTGGGTGGATTCAGTGTAACGAGCCAGGGTGGACAAAAGGGTGTACTGCATGTACTGATGGATGGTGGAGGCCAGTTGAACTGCGAGTGAAAGTGCTCGGCCCAGCGGTCCATACGCCTCTGTTGGTTGGCAATCGGAGACTCATCCACCTCACAAATGACCTCACTGACACCAGGCTTCCTGAGGCCAGTGGACCGAATGAGTTGGAAAAGCCTGCGAGTGTTGCCAGAGAGAGCAGCGGTCTCCATCTCTAAAGCACGCTCAGACCACCATGTCTTGCGATCCGTGCGCAAGCTTTGCTTGAGCAGCCGGTTGGCAGAACGGCGCAGTCGTTGCAATCTGATTCCGCCGGGATATCTTTGCTGCGTTCGAACAGCTCCAGAGAACGAGCAGAGATCCAAGCCTTCAAGGGGCGTCGAGCTAGGCCGCAGCTTGACTGTCCGGAAATGGTCATCGCTTCCTATATACAAGCCGTGTTGCTCCACGTCTTGCGGTGGATTGCAACTGAGTGCGTATGCCAGTGAAGACTGATAGCTCGCCTGGACAGAGGAATCAGTTAATCTGTTTACATCAATCTTGCGGTGTTTCGTATCTCAGGTCCCCCAAAACACATGCAGATTTTCCCGCAGACCAATGCATGATCTGAGTCAACGAACGTGGATCAAAAGGACCTGCAGTCCAATACGCTGCCATGCCATATGAAGCTAATTGCAATGTGATCAATTTGAGACCACGGTTGTGTTGGCGAAGGGGGACGCCACGTTGCGGAACACTTCTTCGTATGCCTGAAGTTAGTTGTCTTCGCACAATGTGAGAAGCCACTCTCTGTTATCAAAGCGGCTCTCATTGAAAGCGTGGTGACCATCAAGGTGGCGTTCGTATGGTAACAGGCGGCCAAAACGTGCACTAAAATCTCCAACAAGGACAACGACATCCGACTTTTAGCATTACTCAAGAGCTCATGTAGATCCCCGTAGAATTTGTCCTTGAACGAGCCGTCACTGCAGTCAGTTGGAGCGTACAGGGAGATCACAAACAAGTTGCGTCTCTTCCCGCGGCGCTTGTTGATTATACTTGATCCCCGAAGTCGAACTGCACACAGTCGGCTGTTAATCGGGAACCAGTCCAGCAGTGCTGCCTCGGCCTTGCCACTTAGTGCTATACATACACCAGCCAAACCCGCCGAGGCTGCTTCTGGATCTCCAGAGAGACGCAGGTGATATCTGGCGTCGTGGTCAGTGGGGGATGTCAACGTAAGCACAGTGCTGGGATCTTACAACCGGGTTTCTGAAAGGCAGCAGACATCAATATCGAGGGACTCTGGGGTGCGCACTAGACCGGCTTGCTGTCCAATCTGCATGAGTGTCCGAACGTTGAAGCACGCCAGACGGAACGAGGATCGGGGACGAAGGAGAGCCATAGGTTGAACTCCATGGTTCGCGGCGGAACTTGGGTCGCAGCCAGATTGTTGAACACATGAATCGGGTAACGAAAAGTAAGGATTGTCAGCAAACAAACAATTGGCGTGTGATGAATTCGCGTGAATGTGAGAAGCAGAAATGGTAGCTGATTTGCACGTTGTAGTACAGTCCGTGGTTTTGTGAGAGAGTGTGATACTACCCGGCTGCCCAAGCCGAAGTAGGGAGTTGACTTAGTGGACCCTACCCCGAGCATTTGGCTAAATAACCCAACCGCAAGGCAGCGGGGCGAAATCAGGGAATCGCGCCCATTGGAAGTCGCTGACTGAATGTTCAGTTCATGTGTCTTTCGTTTGGTAGATCACCAAACAGGGGCCCAATACTCCCCATGAAATTAGCACAATTGCTGGACTACAATGCCCCACTGAGGTGGAACACTGTCGCCGAACACTTCGCTGGAACAGGGTACACCCGAACCACCCAGATGGCATCACGAGGAGTGATGAAAGGTGAGCAACCTGTTTATTCCGATTCGCAGACTTGGAAATAACCGGAAAATTTACGATACGATTTGTTTTCCCCGCACCAGTGCCTCTTTGCGGCTCAAAGGTGAGTCGTTCCCGGTCCGGACGAACATGGATCTGCAAACCTCATAAATCCAGAGTACTTGAAAAACTATAGCACCATTGCAGCTAGGTCCCATTGCTATACAATCGTTGCGGAGTAGGCGAAAGACATGAAATGTGCTTCGCACCATCCAAGTGAAGGTATTGTCGTATGGCTGGCTGGTTTGTCATCCCACCATTTCTAACAACCATCGAGGGATTCCTTCAACTATCGGGATGACTGAACCACAGCCATGAGGGTTTTTGTGACTAGTGTGGCTTTTCACGCCCCAATCCATTATGGAAGCAGCTGGATATAAGTTTATTGGTCAAGGATGTATTGCACAAAGTTAAAGCGCGCATACTGTCACTTTATGGTGCAGAGTGATGATTACTGTGCATTGTGGATTTGGAGAACCACTGCGTTTGACCGCCGATAAATATTAGACATTTCTCACATCGGACAAAAACACGGAGTAACTAATTCCGAAGACCGATGTTGGATGTTTGAAAGCAGACCAACTGGGCAGTAAGGTGGGTCATACTGGCAACATGCCTGCAGAGTAAGAACATCGGCGTGTATTGGTTGAGATGATGTACATAGCCCGATGAAAAACTGAGGTGACCGGTCAAAGGCTTAGAAAATTCGTGTGATAAAATGGTCAGAAAATGGATTTGGTTCAACAAATGAGATCTTCGCGATCGGCCACAGCCAATGAGATCTTGTCTGGTGTGTCACATTCATGAGGCCAGTGGTGTATCTGCATTTAGTCCCATTTCTTGAATCAACTCTGTTACGGCAGTTATTACTAACTCATCTAAAAAGTGGCTAAACAAAAGCAGCACGTTGGGGCTCCGGAATGACGCACCAACGTCACGCAAGAAACGTTCCTGCACCTCCACGCTTGAACACTGGTTTCTGCTCAAACGTAGTCGGAGAAAAGGTGATTGACATTCATCACCCGAAGATGAGCAACAAACCGTAAGACGTGTCACAGTAGTGCCTGTTGAAATCCCATGGTCCTCATTAGCTAGGCTGTGTTCTGTGTGCCTACCATATGATTGCCTCGAAGTATGTCGTTTGGCAATGCTGCGATTAGTTGGATGAAACCTTGAGGCGGTCAGTTAATGACAGCAAAATAACATGACGAAGCTCACCAAGAGACTGAGTCAGGTAGGTGCATGTCGTCTTTCTAGAAGGTGTCCTCTGGACCAGCCACATCAGCGGCTGAATGTTTTATAGAATATGACCTGGTCGATGACATGCCTGCACACGTTCCCTCAATTCTAAGCCCAGAAAAATCTAGTTAATAATTGCGATTTTTATCCGCCTACTCTGAATTTATATGATTGTTACTATGTTGACAGTTATCAAGACAAATGGATGCGTTAGATGGTCTATACTGGTAATAAGACAGGACGTGGAGTGTGTGCTTCCCGGAAACATTCATGAATGAAACGACGGAAGCAATGTAGGTCGCGTAGTTTCACATTCCATTTACCAACTATCGTTAGAGATTAAGGAAAGAGTAAACCCACAAGAAGATTCGGTCAGTAACAGCATATAAGTGTTCTCGAAACCACGGAACCATGAGAGCGACTAGTGGGATTTCCTAAGAAATAGGTAAGACGCACATATCCAGCTACAGGACAATAGTAAGGGAATACAAATGATCCACATGTAGGTTTTAACGTCCATCGATGACATCGATCAGTTGGCTCAGCCACATCGCCTTCTTATTGGTTTGCCTGGCAGCGACCAATCAATAACTCTTCGTGTCATGCGCACAGTTTTGGCTCGACACACTCTGTTTCGTACGGTGTCTTGTCCTACCTGACTACCACCTGGGGGCATACTTTGCTTGACCTCGTTACTAGGCAATAAAAGTAATCAGAATAACCAGTTTCCCACACTACAAATACATCCGTCAATGCGCAGCTGGTATGTGGATCCACTAAATCCACATATGTATGAAGGAACCATACTCGTGGCTACGAGTCACCGAGTGAAGCGGACAAAATAGATAGAATTAGTGCACCAAAGAAGTTTGGTGACAGTTGCCATCGCTGCTGTAAGACGAGTGATGGAATCGGTAAAACACAATGTCTAAGACACCGAAATGAAAGTGATTCCTAACGGGGTTATGCGACGATGGGGTTCATAATCAGTAAAACCAGAAGATGGAGCGTTAGGCCATGCGAAAGCGAATTTCCCAAAATAAGGCAAAGCTCAACTGAGTTGAACCAGTGTATAGATCGGCTGACGATATTCGGCCAAGGTTACGCGGTTGACGTATGTCAGAGGCTAATTAGGCCCAAGCAACCCGTTGTAGTAATTCAATTCACCGTCCAACATAAAAAATACGAAGGATGCCTTCAATAATACCGTTTTCCCTTATGTAACGGTGAGGAAATTCAGAATACAAGGAGAGTCAATGGAACATCACAACGTTAGACGTAATTATGATAACCTACACAACCACACCCCTCTGTGATTTGGAGGGGAAGCAAAATACACACTCCTCGATATGAAGAAGAAAATGGCGTGTAAAATAAATAACAAGCCAGTAATTCTTGCAGCCGGTTTTCAATAGTGAAACACTTTAGGTATGGCCAAAGAGATTTCAACATGGGGCAGACATAATGGGACTCTGTTACCTTTGCATGACAATTCGGGTTGACTGAGTGGTTGGCAAATCTTATTTTGTTTCCTTTCCGAGTCGCGTCCACCACGAAATCCCGGTTTAAATTAAACAGAAAACTGCTCATTGTCTTATCATAGATCTTGCCTGAAAATATCAGTGGTGAAAAACGCAAGAAATGTGTGAAAAGGTGCAAATGTTAACATAAAATGGAAAGAAAGTAATCAAGCGAGCATGATGCTAACTATAAGTGAAAAAAGAATTACCGCAGAAATAATATGAATAAGTACATGACGGTGGTGATGAAGTCCTCGGAAATTATCAGAGCACCAATCGAGTCGATTACAGAGGAAACACCTATTGATAACAATGACTCGGGGAAAACATGCATAGGGTCAACAAACGAAAAGTAGAAACCTATCGACCACCGCCTGCAAAGCGAAACTGACAGAAAAACAGTTAACGGCAAAGGGAAGTGAAGCGTCGTACTTACCCCGACGATCAGCTTCATCCTGGCTGATTATCTCACCGCAATATTCGTAAATGAAATCATTCTTCTCAGCACCGTCTTTAATAAAAATGCCCCAACTGCAAAAAATTGTCATTAGTAAATAGATAAGTGAATAAACAGTATATACATTGACGGTGTGAGACACAGTCCAACTGAGTGGTCTGATTAATCTGTATAGCAAGACCTGTTATATACAGGTAAATGTGCACGTTTTATACAATGGGTCCCAGACGGATTTTTAAAGCGATTGGCGGGTTGAAGGTATTAGAGAAGTTGGGAAGAATAACAGATACAGCTTTAACCAGATGTTCAAGTAAAGTAATAGGGTCATTCATAGAACCGTCTCCAGGAAATCTGCTTCCATGCAGGGTAGTCCCTCAAAACGTTCACCCGAAATTCAATGCTCCATCTGGCTGTATGCCAGTGTGACAAAATAGTAGGTAGGTAGTAGCTGGTAGGACCTGACCTGGTCAACAATACTATCAGGGCTGATTTTTCACGCATACGTTATAGGTGGTCAGGTCACCCAGCCCGTGCCATCATTCGGCTATTTTGAGCATGACACTTCTTTTGTATATGTCAGAAAGATGACAATCACGCCAGTGAATCAGGGACAATATGCATTGCATGGCCAACAATGAAATAAGGAAGAATTAAAAATATAGATAATTAAAAAACAACAATTACAATCAATTGCAAAAGGGTTAATTTGATGTAAAAGCTGGGCGAATAATGACGACGAGACATAGATCCGAGGGAAAGAATTTTCCACTGTGAGCACAAGATCTTTTGAGGAATAAAGCGCAGTAAACATAATACAAATGCGGTTTAGCACATCAATACACACTTCTAGTTGCTTTACTGGCAAGTACGGACGATTGAGGCATTCATAATGAGCGGAAAGTTAACTCATTAATTCCAGACAATCAATTGAAAAAAACTAATGTCCACCACTCAGCAGAGACATGAAAAAGAAATACGGAACCAACAGATGAGCATAGAAAGCTAACGAAAGGCAGATTTTGAGTGATAGCGAGAATAAAACGAGGAGACGGACTAATAACCTTGGTGTACTACGAATCTAGCGCGGGAGTAAAAGGATGCAAAATTAATACACTACTTACAAACACGGGGATTTCATAGGGTAAGAGCTATCATAATTTTAAATAGATACAATCCTGAAACATTTGGAGAGTGTTTTCGCTGATAATCCCAAGTTTTTACTTATATTTATACTTAATTTTATCGTCAAATAACCCACTTCCTTCTTTGCTAATTCTGTTCCTCCTCAAACAATCTGCCATAATTTGTTTGCAAATTTCTGATACAGCCGACTTCACTGGCGCCAGAAAAACCTTAATAGTTTTGTTGAATCTGCCTAAGTTTGCTGGACACCGTAGGTAACTAGGCAGTCTATTCCATACCAGACCGAAGCCTAAAAGATAGAAACTGGGTCTAACTGTGACCCTGAATGTAGGCCCCATGATTATATACTCCGTGTAGTGTATCGCAATTCTGTTTTGTAACCGAAATCGCAAAGAGCGGTGTTCACTATACTGTTTTCGCCACACAATTTGATGTTTGAAGTCAAAATTTAAATGCAGTCTGTGCAAACACAAAGACTGGAATCTTAGCTGATTACATTTATCTTTACGAGAAACAAATGTGGAATAACCGTAGGTGCGTTTCGTGAAGGCGTGAACATTTTTTATGGTATTCAAGTCACATTTACATTGATTACTGAACGCAACTCAACAGTATTCTTGCAAAGACCTTATAGTGGTTTTATATGCCATGAGTCATGTCTCCTTCAGCGTTAGTCAGACTGATATGCCCCATTACCTGCACTTCTTTAGATCACTGGCAGAAGAGCAAACTGGAATGGTATCACCATGAAGCAGAGATAATCCTGCCTCTATATGACATCCATAGGTTATTATATTGCAGTTCGATGTGTAGAAGTGCATCTACTACTTCGTAGCCAATTCCTCTATGGCTTGTAGATCGCAGTTAATATTTGCTACTTCAGTTAAAGAGTGTATGAAGTCTCTACAGTCATTTGAAGCAATAATGGACAAGCGCTATCAACAATAGCAAGGCAGATATCGTCATCACAAATGACATATACGAAAGCTTCTACAGAGCACCGCGATAGGATCACCGATCCATCGCATGATGTTCAGCCCAGTTAAACAACTAGGATCCGGGGATCGAAGTTCGGTAGATCTACGATTCAAATCCCCAGATTAGCAATAAATAACGACCACAAGAAATGGGGGCTGTTTACACGTAGAGTATAATGAAAGTGGAATCATGATAGGAAAGCGAAAAACTAATCGGAATAGAATAAAGAGACAAGGTGTAGGTGTAAAAAAACCGAATGCAGGAACGCCTGTTGCTGCAGGACTGCGCCGTATCTGAGAAGGTCTCTAATCACCCATGTGCATCATCCAGGGCCCCCAACCCACGAAGACAGCATGCACCAGCCTAACCAAGTCTCTCGGTCAATTTCTTCATGCCTTTATGCCACATCATCGACTTGTCACATCGCGATTTCGCTCAACTTTGTGCAGCCACGGCGTATAATGCACGCCGAGGAAGCCGATCAACAAGCATACGTAGAACATGATCTAGCCAGAGTAAGCGATTAAGCTTAATCAAATGTTCGAGTGCGGCAGCAAAAGGCTTCTTGCCAAAAGCCAACTGGCGGACCTCGAGATTGCTCACCTGATGTAAGCAACACTGCGCAAGAATCGGTGATTAAACAAAGTCATGGGTTTAATGTCTCCACTGTAAAATGGCCAAGTGTCTGATTCATACAGTAACACTGGCCTTATCGCAGCGTTCTAGACCCTAGCTTTCACTGACAGGCTGACATCCCGCCGTCCCATAGATGGGTGAGCCTATGGAAAGCAAGACGGATCTTGTTGCTAGTCACATGCTGCTTAACCATGGTTGACTACGAACGGATACGTCAACACGTATGTTCACTTCTCGTAACTTGTACCTGCTCACTTTTTAAGTAAGCTATTCCCGTCCGCGTGCCGTCTTCTTTCTGGCTAAGGGCTGATATACGTACCACTAGGAGCGAGACATGGCACTGATACGCGAAGTAATTGCCTCAGTGGCTTGGCCACCAGAGGGGACACAACTACCAAGGTAAGTGAACCGATCCACCCATCCCAGCGGCTGCTGGCCGACAGATAAAACCGACGGCGGTGTATCGGTCCAGTCTTGCAGCAGTACTTTGCACTTTGGAGGCACAAGGCACATGCCGAACCGTGCAGAGCTACGCATCAGTCTGTGAAGTAATGCTTGCATAGCCACTGCGTCCGATCCAAGGAGAATTATGTCGTCCGCATACCCAGGGTTTATCAGTCGGTCAGCTGGCAGAATTTTCACTTCGGAAGAGTCACTCATGATCATTTCCATCACAAAGTTGAAGCGGAAAGAAAATTTAGGACAACCGTGGCGAACCCCACCTGTTGTAAGGAAACCAGGAGACAGCTTCCCGTAGATCTTTGCACGGCATCCGCAGTTACGGTAGACAGACTTGGGAAAGGAAAGTAGTTTACCAGGCATTTCTTTCACGGGTAGACAGAGCCACAAGCTAAGACGGTCAACAGAGTCGAAGGCCGCTTTCAAGTCAAAGAAAATCATTATAGTTGATCAGCAGTAAGTGTATCTCTGCACTAACACTTGGCGGAGATTAAATATGTGGTCGATGCAACCACGACTAGGGCAGAAGCCAGCCTAACTTTCAGTGATTCGGTTCTCATTCGGATCATTAAATCATCGAAGAATGCTAACCATGAGAAGTTTGAATGCAATAGGAAGAAGGCTAAAGTTGTATGATTTTCGCTGACCCTACTTGAAGTTGGGCAAGAAAGCTGAAAGGCGCAAGTCTGAAGGCACCACTTCAATGTCCCGAATAATGTTAAATAGAGCAGAACATTCAAACAACAGTTACCTCTATCTTTCAGAGAAGATGGATAAAAGTCACCGGGTTCTGGAGCCTTGTTTCCTTTTAACACGCGAAGCTCATGTGGAATGTCTTCCAAAGTGAGAGGTGTGACATCAACATCCCACGTCGGCTCGGGTGATTCTGCAAGCAGCAACGTCACAGCGAGCCTGCTGAAATGCTCTTCAAAATATGCAGCCCAACCAGCTAGTCGACGAGGCTAAAATTATTCAATTGTTCATCTTTTTTGGCTATTGTCCCACTAACCGATGGCACTCTCGGGCGCGTGTTCCGGATGGGCTGGAATAGCAGTCGGCTATGCCAAATAGCACTGGCTTTCTCCATCTCACGGGCCCTTGACAAGATTTCCGGTCGTTTCAAAGACACCTTATCAATCGTTGCTTCAGGGCGCTAGCGACAAGCTGAAATTCAGTGATCGTGTTTTGATCAAACTTATCGATGCCTCAGAAATCCATCCAGTTACGTCTCAATTAGGGTGTACAGCAGGTGTCAAACACATTCTTCATGGCAGGTTTGAGACGATCCCAACCTGCGTTCGGTTCAAGAATCTCATCCATCACTGACAACTGGTGGATCAGTTCATCAGGATATTGCCGAAGTGCAGGCTGAGTTCAAATTACAAGTAAAAAGCTCAAAAGTTAGGTGCTTCATTGAAGCAGAAAGGACGATCACTAGGCGTCCGTGTACTAGAGCATGGTCGGAGTCCATGCACATGCTCTAAATTGAACGACAGTCTTGGCCTGATATGCGTCATCTACAGCTGATGGCAATATGGTCAATTTGGGTCCAAGTCATAGAAGAATAAGGTTAGCGGCAGGTGATGCGGTGTGAGTGTTTGTGCTGGAAACCAGTGCTGCTACTATAAAGAGTGTGGTCGGCGCACAGTTGCAGGAATTGATCACCATTGTCTGTTCTGTGTGCATCGACTCAGAAGCGCCCTCCCAGGTGTTGTTCATAATCTGAAAGAGATATACTTGGGCATTCTAGTTACCAGCAAAAAGCACGCTGAAAGTATTCTTCGCTATGCGAAAGGAGAGATGAGAGCTGTTTATATAAATCATTTTTGATACCCTCCGAACGGCATTCAGTAGGAGCATAAACGGAGGCGATGAGAAGGCACCTTGTCTCCATAGGGTGCTTATTAACCCCAATAGACGGTCGAAGTCGAACTGCACACATGCGGCTGTTCACCAGTATCCAGTCGAGCAGATTATCTTCAGCATGTTTGCTGAAGGGGGTATCGACGAAGTAAATACCCTGAGCCATTCACTCAGTACCACAAAAAACGGAGAGAGTGTAGTCACTGTTAGCAGATTCAGAATCAAGGCGTCGAAGAATCGTCACAACGCTGTTACCTTGTATGCGTGTTTCGGGGACACAGCACACATCAATACCAAGAGTGAGAAGAGTTAGTCAGTGCTGCCTGTTGACCGATCAGACCCAAAATGCGGACTTTAAAAGAGCCAATGTGAAATAAGACTCGTGGTTTGATGGACGAGGTACAAGTATCGATGGCAGAAGCAGCGAGGTCAGAGGCCTTTCCTTGTTTAATAGATGAGCAATAAGAGAGATGAGAAGGGAAAAGATAAGGAGAGGAAGTATTGTCGATCGGGTCGTGAGGACAGATGGTACTCTCAGGCCGCCCATTCCGAGAGAGGGGTTTTATTGGAGGTGTCCTACCTCTAGCCAATGACTCAACAGTGTGAACCAAAAGGCAGTGGGGTAGATTGGAGTTCGCTTGAGGGACTGCACCCGGAGCCTTTAGATCAACAGATTGGCTCACAAGGCAGCGGAGAGCAACTCCAGTTCTGAAGTGCGATTTCACAGACCTGTTGGGATCTGCTTGAGGCCTGTTACCCACAGCTTTCGAAGATTAAGAACAATGCATATGTGTTTTACGACCGTACTACGTTACACAGCTGCGACCAAAGTCAGCCGCAAAGGGGAGTTGTCGGGTTTACACCAGTTTGACGCGGGGGTTTTCTGGTTTGAGGCGGGCGGTAGCAAACGATTGAGCATAAGAAGGTGCCCTCCCACCGTCAGAGACAATGCGTGGCGCTAGTGCTCTACGCCAATAAAGCTGTGAGCTTATAACCCGTTAACCTGTTGTCCCTAAATGTTTTAAGGGAAGAGGGCCCTCGATTTCTCCCTAAACTCCGAAGAAGATTGTGAGACTGATTTAGTCTGATCCATAACCATTGAGTTGTCTGATATGAGTGGCTCTGAAGGCACTTGGAAAGTGTCATCCAGCGTAGCTCAATGGGTCACGGAGGTACGCAAACCATCGCATCACGTTAAGGTATAGTCTTGTCGCAATGTACTAGTGAACAAATATAACGTATCAACGCATAGTTGATAAACTGCTCTAGATGCCTGGTATCTGGACGAAAGCCGATCGTCTGTACCATTTACGTACGTTATACAGACACTGTACTTGCTCAAAATTTGTATTCAACCTGCGCTAGAATGCTAATCGATAACCACATATGCCTGTAAAAGGTGTAGTGTCGAAGGCAAAAGTAGCTCACTAACCCACTCGTACACCTTTAGCTGCATCGAGAGTTACAGGATGTTGACATTGGAAACAATGTGACTAAAGTTGATGTGTGATCCGACGCAAACCTGGGTTCGCACCAAATAGTATCATCGAATTTAGACAAAAGAGCAAATACACTATTAGGAAGAAGACATCAGCAATACGTCGATACGCAGTACCGACGATTCGCTGTCGCGCAATCCCCACCGATCGCATGTGGGCTAAGGATACTGCAACAGTCGCCCGGTGCCTACGCAGGTTCGAACCAGGGCCGTCAGAATACAAGACAAGCCTGGTACCTTTAGGTTACGGGAAGACTACACTAGTAGGAGCACATAATGTACACTTCCGGAGTTCAAAACGAAAACTTGTATTCACCTCGCAAACAATCGACACTGCGAGGGATTCTACTCTAACCAATGACATTCATCAATACTATGATTAGTAGAATGCAGCGAATACTCTTAATCATTGAGACAAGAACTTGGGCTTTGGGCTTTTCACTGCATATATACACGATCCTGTGGATGTATCGGTGAAATCAAATTGTAGAAGATCGGTCGTGTAGGAAAATGGGTGTCTCCTGAAACCGAGAATAAGTTATTATACCAAAAAATAAGTATACGAGGAACACAGCGCCCACCCTGCCACGTCCGATGGAGCCATAAGCAAGTGCTTGCGCCATCCGCGCTGAATAGCGACATTTCGGCAAGTCCCAATGGTCGTTGAAGGAACAAGTGGACTAATGAGAAGGTTGGTGTCCATCGTGGTCCTACTTTGACCGAATCCACGGCCGGGCTGCTGAGCACCGCAAGAAAGACATAAATCCGGATCGCACTCGCGCACAGCGAGTAAACATGGGCACAGTTTCGTGTTGCACTGACCGCGACATCGACATCCGAGAAAACTGGTGTGGAAAGAGAAGGTACGGAAAGTTTACACAGAATACAGTCTCGAGGAATTGATAGGCGAATAGCCAATGTTTCTGTGGAAAATAGACCTGGAAATAATCTATAGCGTGGGAGGACAATGTGCCCATGAAGATGCAAAAGAGGAAATGTTCGGACACGTTCAGCTCAGTACAGTTACCAAAACAAGACAAATGAGGAGAATGTGCAGTCATCGTCATTCATCACAGGCGTCACCACCACTGTCCTGGGTCCTAAACAAATCAAAATTAACAGAAGACGCAGTATAATTCACATCTTGAACGGTTAGTCCAGTAGGAAATGACAGTAAACACTGTACTGGTACTAGTAACGAGCCATGTTTCGTTATGCTACCAGGAAAGCATAGGATGTCTCACCAAGACACTAGATGAGCAATGACTTCTTTTGATGATGTAAGGCGAATGATACATTCCCCGAATCCGGAATCGCACACCAGACGATAGACAGTGAATGGGCATATCAAGCATGTGCGTAAACACTAGTATAAACTGTTTTGTTTTACTGTTTGCAAAAGAACCAATCTGAATAACGATGCAGTTAAAGCTTGAGAGAGACACGATTGGGAGAAGTTTCTCTATTATCTCAGCGGTGACGTTCACGTGGTAGTAGACGACCGACGCGTGTGCAGTACAGCTCAGCCGGGACAGCAGTATTGGATATGCAAACGCTGCTCAAGGGACGATAGAAGTCTTATTTGACCTATTCACAGCAGCAGGTAGTTATAGCGTGGCCTACCTTTCTTGACACAGACCACGTGTTGGTCTGTGCAAATATCTACATGAGCGTCATGGGGTCCCTGAAAAGATTGATACAAACAAGCTAGTTGCCTCTTCAGTTTAGCTGAGCTACAAATTTTCCCTGTCAAATGCACTCAGCTACGATCGAACGCAAGATATGCATCAACAATGAACGTTCAAGCATAGATGATGATCTCTTCTGGATAGGCAGACGGTGGTCTTATTCAGCACTCTAGTTGTATTTAACACTTGGCCAATAAACAACTGGCAGAGTGCCACAACACATGAGTAAAAACAACAAAAAGGAGGAAAAGAAACTGTCAGCGAAAAGATTAGGAGGGTTCATGTATTGCGTGAACAGTGAGCTTCCCGGTTTCCAAGGCCGAGGAAGGACACCCTATGAAAGCCTAGATCGTCCACATACTCTCTCGATCTGCTTGCATGTCACATAAATATTTCAACAGAGTAGGAGCACACTGAAATGCACTGTTCTGTCAAGCGGTAGCTCAACAAAAGCATGCGTAGTGGCCGTAATGCCTAGTGGTTTCCGATGTGGAGGCCGAAATCCTCTGCAAATACTCCAATACATTTAGTCAACTAGCCACTAGAAACCTAGTGTCAGTAAAAAACGTTGAAAGACCGATGGTTTAAGATCTTACTTGATGACAACTTGCAGAGTACGTGAATCATTTTGAACCGTTTTGCGACTGAGGCATCTAGGTACGGTATGGGCTCCGCACCCTCAAAATGTAAATTGCTATTTAAGAGCTGATTCACCACTTCCCGTGCTCAGCCTTGAAAATATACAACTTGAAAAGGTAGGTAGCTGTGCCGAGCTGGAGAGCTGCGCTTCTACTGGTAGCACTATTGGAAAGAAGGTTTCTCTTTGCGTCGCCAAAGCCCGATCGGCGTTTGTTAATATGAAACAGATGTGGCAACGTCGAGATTCCTCTCTCTGTCTGTAAAGCGCAAGATTTACAATGCCTCCGTTCGTGGTGTTGCTTTGTGTAAGCGAGTCGTCACCAGATAGTGTAGATAATATGCACTAGCTTTCGGAATTCGACAATTGGTGCATGAGGATGAATGCTCGTATGTGGTGGCAACAACGGGTCTGTAACGACGAACCTGGATGCCGCCTCTTAGGAAATGTCAATATTCCACGCAACAAGCTATTTTTGTTGCGCTAAATTGAGATGGCCAGGTAACGTCCTGTGCATGGCATTTGAGCGCTTGCCCCATCCTGTACTGTTCGCTCCTGAAGGACTCGAATGGAAGAGACCGGGTGGCAGTCAGTCACCATCGCATGAAGTTTGCTGAATTCGTACTTCCGTCTGATAGGCAGTCCAAAGACAGGAAATGCCGACGACTCGAAAGGCTTCAAGATATGGCCAGCAGTCGGGATATGCAGGAGGTTTGCTCATCCTTAGTGAGGAAGAAATTCCTGTTATTTTGCTAATATGTGGCCAAGGGTTCAGCAAACTCTTTGGACGCTGCAGAGTATGGCATAATATTTAGTTGCATTCTGGAGTTCGTAGTCAAAGCTGATACATTCGTTGTTCAAAGAAGACACTAGTAACCGGTTATTGATATTCCCAATATTTTACGCTTCTAATTTTAATGTTCTCGTCCAAGCAGCTAACGAGCTACATAAATCAGCCACAATCCGGAAAAGCACCAGACGCGTTTCACCATATTAGGGCTCGTCAGTGGTGCGCATTCCCTCGGTCTCCTACTGCAGTCGAGAGAGACCATTTGCTGCCTGATTTGCACGCCCTGGATGAAATTCGTTTTGGAAATAGGACGTGATTAAGCGTGTAACCATCTTTAACGAACCTCTTCTCACCCATCCTGATGCTACTACATAAGCACTCAGACCCGTGGCGTCTTCTCGAGCACTGGATAAACCAAAACCCTCTGTTCTTCTTGACGTTCCGACTACCCAGCCTCAACCCCAGGCAATCGACCGAGGCGGTAGACAGACCAAACGCCCCGTCCGTTTCAGTGACTTGGTGATCGTTTACTATTGCTAGTAACACGCATATTTTTCGTCTATGGTGGCGATGGTGTGTTTCGCCCAAAACGTATTGTCAATCGACAAAAAACCAAACATTTAGAAAAACCCAAAGGGCGTAGTTGCTTTTAGCCCGAATGTCATGTTTCCTTTCGGCATCAAGCCAATCCCCTGACCATTGCCCACTCCCATTGAGTTTAACTTTCCAAAATTTCAACAACCAAAACAGCCAAGGCAACCCTCGAGTAACTCGCTAACCGACTCAAGTCCACTCCCTGGGCCCAAGCGACAACCAGTCATCCTTGGCAGCAGAAGGCTACAACGGAATCAGTGTCCAGAGGATTAACTACGTGATAGTGACGAAAACGACCGGATTTCCTCATGAGACACGGACCGTTTGGGTCGTGGTGGTGAGAATGCCACCTTCCAAGCGCACCGTAGGATCTGCAACGGAGGAAATGTCTTGCTGGCCTTTTTTCTGAAATGCCCAGTTTAATTTTTGCAGTCCGACGAGCCCGCCCCAACGGTCCACCGATGACACATTCCAGTCAACACGTAAGTAACAAATTACAAAGAAGTTTGGACTCATGGAACTAGGCACGAAACCCCACATCTCATCTTCTTCTTGACAGCTTTATAGAAGAATTTTATTTCTCAGCCCTCTAAAGGGAGGCCCTTTTAGTGAGCCTGAAAACAATCTTTTAGCATTTCATAACAATGGATGTTATTGTTGTTTGTACCTTCTAACTGTCCACTTGGTTAACTGCTCTTACATCTGTTTCTCATTTGTCGTCGGTGGGTGCCGTGCTACACGTTCCTCGCTCTTGTTGATTTGCCACGTTGCTTACGCTAAGTGCGCTTATCTTCGGTAATTTTGTTGCGTTTGTAGCATTTTTAAGTAACTTATGGACATTTCTTACTTATCACGGATTTGTTGCTAACCAAATTACATATGGTAATTTAGCGAAGAGTTATGCCACCGTATCTGTATGCATTATTGGATTTATTTTATTTCAGCTTGTCGTTGAAAGGGAATGGCTGTTGCTTGATATCCCCGGAGTGGCTGCGCTTGATGTGCATATTGACAAGGTGCCTACCTGTCTATTACTCACCACCTCGTCTATACTGGCTCCAGGAGACAGTTGGTCGTTGCTGGAGGGGACGGGGTGCACGGTTCATGTGACAGTGTTAGGATCAAAGAGTGGTTCCATGCACTCAGGGTGGATAAGATTACAGTCCCGCCATTGCTTTGCGTGCGCTTGATTCCCCAAATACAGCGTGCTTATTTTTGCCTGTGAAGGAGTGTGCGCCGGCTCCGTAGATGAAACGTGGCTCTCATCCACATGCCTCCCGGTCATATTCCTTCGGGTTTACACTGGATATGGGGTTTGTGGGTGGTGCAACACAAGCCATTCATAGTCCCTGTAGGCACAGGCGTTCTGTGACTGGCCACAGTGACAGGCAAATCTGAAACCGGATGCCGCCAACCATATATATATATATATATATATATATATATATATATATATATATATATATATATATATATATATATGGTTGTTAGCGTCCGATTCCAAATTTGTTTGCTGTTGTGGTCTCCATAAGACAGCCACATGACGCCTGCGCCTACAGAAGGACCACGGGTGGTTTACGATGCACGACCCACAGTTGCATCGACATGCCACATATCCGGTGTCAACCCGAAGGAATAAGACTGGGAAGTTCGTGGATGGGAGAGAAATTTCATCAACGGAGCCGGGTCACACACCTTCAACAGGCAAGCACAAGCATTCTGTATTTGGGGAGACAAGCGTACCATACGTAGGCAGGACGGTGGTTAGGCCGCAACGCGTTCAACACTAGACGTAGGTAACTACTCTTTGAGCACAGCACGGTCAAGAAGAATGGGCAGCCCATTCCTCAACAACGATCAACTATCTTCTGGGGCCAGTATAAGCGAGATAGAGG